CGATCTTTTTTGTCTCCTCCTCCTCCTCTTCCTCCTCCTCCTCCTTTTTCTTTTTCTTTCTTTTTTTTGTCTTTTTGAGACAAAGTCTCCCTGTAGTGGGGACTACAGGTTTGCACCACCACGCCCGGCTGACAGCTGGTGCTCTTATCCGCTAATCTATCTCTTCAGCCCCACTACCCATACTCCTAGTGCTCCTCCATCCTCTTTCCAGACCAGAAAAACTGGAGGCAAATAAGCATTTGGGGAAAAAAAAATAAGTACAATAATTCTATGTATTTCTTTTATTTTATGTATATGAGTGTATTGCCTGCATGTATGTGAGTGCACCCATGTCGTGCAGTGCCACGGAGGTCAGAAGAGGGCTTTGAATTCCCCTGGAACTGGAGTTAAGGACGGTTCATAGCCACCATGTGGGTGCTGGGAATTGAACCTGGGTCCTCTGCGAGAGCAGTCAGTGCTCTTAGCCGCTGAGCCATCTCTCCAGCCCCTCTATGTATTTCTTGAGTGACTAAAGAATTAATTTGGTGGGAAAATTAGAAAACACACCCCCAGAATCTTCCACCAGTTTGGATTTTTTTGTTGTCGTCCAGCTCAGCAAGAACAGCAATTTCTCGTAATCACTGTGCTGTCTTTCCAGCCCCTTCCCTCAACAACCCATCCCACCCCCACCTCCCGGTTTTTTTTTTTGTTTTTTGAGACAGGCCTGGAATTTGCTATGTAGACCAGGCTGGCCTCAAAGTCAGAGATTGTCTGCCTCTTCCTCCAGAGTGTTGGGATTAAAGGTTTGTGCCACCATGCTTAGCCTCACATTTTTATGAAGAATTGATCTTTGTAGTCTGGATTCACTTCATCTGCCTTGACAGTTAGTTAACATCAACATCTGCTACTCCTGTGGGAGGCAGCCAGTTCAGTTTTATCATGGCCTTCCATCCAGGTGGCCACTGTTTGCATGCCTTGTGAGCAAGCTCCACAAAGCTCCTGTGATTGACAGGATGCCACAACTGTACCCATGCTTCATTGCCACCATCACCAAGCAGCTACCTTCCCTGGCTGTGCCCCTTCTCTTTTGGCCTGGTACTTGATAGGGACACTAACAAGCTTAGTTTTTCTCACTATACCTCCTTGAAGACCAGACTGGTTAGTTTGGGGGATTGGGGAAAGAGGGTACTCTGCTCTATCTGCTTTCAAGACAGTTTCCACTTTTCCTTTCTCCTGTTGGTCCCTGACTCTAGGAAGGTACTCCTACCTATTCTTAACTCCTAGGAAGCTTGACTAGATGCTTTGTCTCAACACAATCACCTCTTCGTTGTATTTGGCACATCTCCTTGGACCCTTGGTCAGATCTGTCATCTTTAACCAGAGTCCAGGGAGATATACATAATCTATCAAAGAGCAGGTGACCATGTCTGAGGGCTGGGAGCACCAAGGTGAGGGCCAGAGTATGGAGAGCATCATCTTGCCCTTAATTGCTAAACCTACTGGGAGAGGCTATAAATTAGAGAGGCAAGCTAATGTTCACAAACCTTCTTATTTGAGTGAGTGAGATGCCTCAGTGGATAAAGTGCTTGTCACACAAGCCTGACAACCCGAATTTGATCTCTGGAACCCAACTAAGGTGAAAAGGAGAAAAATTACTCCACAAAATTGTCCTCTGACCTCTACATTTATGCTGTGGCACATGAACAACACCACTCTTGCCCACACATTACTAGAAAAACAAAAGGGCTGGAGAGATGGCTCAATGATTAAGAACACTGGCTGTTCTTGCAGAGATGGCTCAATGATTAAGAACACTGGCTGTTCTTGCAGAAGACCGGGGTTAAATCCCAGCACCCACATGGCAGCTAACAATTGTCCTTAACTCCAGTTCCAGGGGATCTGACATCCTCTTCTGTCTGAGGGCATTGCATGACACGAGTGTACTTACATGGAGGAAATACAGACATATACATAAAATAAAAATAATAAAAATACATTTTAAAAACAGCTGGGCATGGTGGCACACACCTTTAATCCCAGCACTTGGGAGGTAGAGGCAGAGGGAGACCCTGCCTTGAAAATAAACAAAACAAAACAAAAACAAACCAGTAACAAACCTCTGGAAATCTCAGGCATCACCTCTGGAAGGTAGGGTTACATACAGTATCACCTTGCAGAGCTGGAACTAGAGCCTGCAATTTTTGTCTTCGTTGGATTATGCTGCCATTTAATGCTTAGCCAGGTTTATTATTATTATTATTATTATTTTAAATATTTTATTTTTATCTTATGAGTGTATTGCCTGCACCCGTGTAGGTAAGTGCACCTGTGTCATGCAGTGCCTGAGGAGGACAGAAGAGGCTGTCGGATCCCCTGGAACTGGAGTTATGGACAGTTAGCTGCTATGCGGGTGCTGGGATTCGAACCCGGGTCTTCTGCAAGAACCACCAGTGTTCTTAACCGCTGAGCCCCGGTTTTATTATTTTTAAGTGTAAGAGTGTATTGGCTGCATGTGTGTAAGTGCATCTTTGTCGCGCAGTGCCAGCAGAGGTCAGAAGACTGGACGGCGTTGGATCCCCTGGAACTGGAGTTACAGACGTTTTTAAGCCTCCATTTGAGTCCTTGAAATTTAACCCAGGTCTAATGCAAGAGCAGCCTCTCCAACCCCCAGCTGCGTTAGATTTTTTCAGACGAAAAACAAGTGGTTTTTTTCTTTCCTCAGGCACACTATCAGAGCTTGTTTGATTTAGAGAAGATTCGTAAAAGGTTCGGGATCGCCTTCATTTGAGATTAGGAGAGAGAAATGGCTGTCAAGTCAAAGGCACAGGGCCGGAGGAGCAGTAAGTTCAGGAGTATGGGGCTCAGAGGCTGAAGGAGCTCCCTCTGCCCTGCGCCCCAGCTTGGCCCCCAGGACATCCCCCACTGTCAGCCTCGTCTCTGCAGAAATTATTCTCATTTATTTTACTTTCTGTTTATAAGTGTATTTATTGCCTGCCTGCATGTATGCGAGTGCACCAGTATCATGCAATGCCCACGGAGGTCAGAAGGCGTCAGATCCTCTGGACCTGGAGTTATAGATGGCTGTTACCTGCTATGTGGCTCCTGGGATTTAGCCATCTCTCCAGCCCCTCCAGCGCTACTCTTTAGCCCTAAAAAGGAGGGGGGGGGGCACGACAGATACTTCCGTCGCTCTGATTACGCTGCTTTCGTCGCTGCCAACGTCACTTCAGATCATGGAGTACCCGGAACCTGTCTGGTCTGGGGAAAAGACGCTGAAGGTCACGCGTGCGCAGAGAGCCACGTGGTTTGGGGTTTGTTTTGAAAGTCTCGAGGAGGGACCATGCGGAACTGATGTGCTGTTGGAGGAATGGGGCAGAGGGGGCGGTCCCCCTAACCGGAAGCCATCACTTTCTGAGGCTCAGGGAACTGCGCTGACGCAGTTTCGGCGCCAGAGGGCGCTAGGTTGTCAATGTCGGGCGACCCCGTGGGGTGAGGGCGGGTTTGCAAATAGAACGGAAATCCCGAAGAGCGGTCGTGGAACGGCCAGTTCGAGCTTCCGGGGTGGGGCCTGCGGGTCGGCGTGAGGGACTGTGGGTCGGTGCAGCTGTACGGCTGCGCTGCTTGGCTTAAGTGTGGGTGCGTTCCGCTGCTGATACTGCCCCACCTTGTGGGCTTAGGTTTCTTGGGGGACACTGCGGGTGGGAGGCTTGTGGAGTCGCGCCGGTGGGGAGAGGCAGAGGCAGGATATAGGCTAGCGGCGTGTGAAGATGTCTGGAGTACCCAGGGCTGTGGGCAGATTAGGCATGCGGCCTGGCTAGTCGGCGTCGGCTGAGCACTGCCCACGCCGCTGCGTGTCCTCAACCGGCACCTGTATTCCAGCTCCTTTGCGCACCTGAGGCCCTGCCACCCATTTAGCCATGTTCCTGGCACGCCTGACTTCACAGCTGGTTAGGGCTGGTCCCTGGGCAGGTAAGAGGCCCCTTGGACGCGGAATCCACTTCCTGGGTTGGGGTTGAGAATGGCCGCGGTCCAGCTCCTCCCTAGGTGCCTTCTGTCTACTGGAAATAGGGGACTGGTCACAAACCTTCCCTGCGAACTTCCATGAAGGGGTACATCACAGCTTCAAGCCAGGAGCGCGGTACAGGTCTTCCCGCTTGGGTGGATGTGCTCCCCAAGTCTAGGTGGTAGTCGTGTTCTGATCCAGCGTGTATCCTCACCAATAGTGACTGAGTGCGTTGTTTCCTCAGGCTTCAGTCGTCCCTGGCCTGGCTCCGGGGTGACCCGCAGCTATGCTTTTCGACCCCCTTACAGCTTGCAGCCTGCAAGCCCAAGTCGGGCTGCGTCCCTCCCTGGCAAGGGGGCCCAGCTGGAGCTGGAAGAGTTCCTGGTCCCCAGGAGGATGGCCATCACACCCCTAGAGGGCTGGCTGACTGCCCGATACCTATTGCCCAGAGTGGATGCTGGGGCCCCAGTGACTGTGGCTCCCACCCAATTCTATGAGTGTCCACCTAGCCAGGTGGAGGAGGGAGCCAAGGAGGTCTGGGTTGCCACTCCGATACAGTGCAAAAATGTGCTGAAGATCCGCCGGCGGAAGATGAACCACCACAAGTACCGAAAGCTGATCAAGAGAACACGGTTTCTGAGGCGGAAGGTTCGGGAAGGACGCCTGAAGCGGAAGCAGGTGAGTGTGGGCTGTCTTGGACCTTGGTTGGTAGTGGCTGAGAGTGCATGGCTTCGCCAAGAATTAGTTGGTTGCCCCTCTGTCTTTGCAGGTCAAGTTTGAGAGAGACCTGAAGCGCATCTGGCTGAAGGCAGGCCTGAAGGAAGCCCCTGAGGGTTGGCAGACCCCAAAGATCTACCTGAAGAGCAAATGAGCCTAGGGTCCCATCTCTGGCCCTGTTGCTACTACTGACCCACTATAATAAACGTTGGGAGGACTCACTCGACCCAGGCTGGCCTCGATCTGCCTGGTGGGGACTCTCTTGAGGTGGAAACCAGCCTTTATCATAGGAGCCTAGGGTGGCTGATGGCTGCGGGGTCCCAGCAGCCTGTGTCCCTACAAACTGACTGTGCTATGCGTTCTGGAATGACAGCCTATTTGAGTGATGTGTGCTGTGGGATCACTGTGAACACTCCCAGGGATGCAAGTCTCAGTGTGTACACTGGTGGTAGACTGACCTGGGGTGGCACTGGGTTGGAGAAAATGGTGAATAGATTCTATTTTCTGAGGTGAGGGGTAGGGTCTGGGTGGGCTCAGCAGGGAAACAAAAGGAAAACCCTGGTTTCTCTGAAGATGGTACATAGTCTGCAGTCTCAGCCCTCTGAGCTGCCCTGCTTGACTGGAATAATCACATTTGGGGACAGGGTTGGTGTATTGGCATGCTGTCAGGCTTCCCAACCTCCTGTTGCCTCTCGGCTTCTGCCATGTCCCCGTTTTATTTTGAGAGGTTCATGATTGAGGGCATGCTGAGGAAGCTTGAGGATTCCAAGTATTCCCTGGGTCAAGAGGAATACACACTTTGAATAGTTGGAGAGACCCTGACTTGTGTACCAAGAGATGAAGAAACTGAACTCCAAGCAGAGGAACCTTGTCAGTGCATCTGTTATGCCATATGGGCCCTTCTTATATACTTTATTCTCTGATCCCTGACATCTGAGTTAACAAAATAGGAACTGTTCACCTCTTTCTTGGGCCTGGGGCTATAGCCTCCTGTATCTTCTTCCCACCCCATAAAGGCCAGGCCACTGCTTACCAAGATTGCGAAGGCTGCTTGTCTTTTGTCATAGACACATGTCTGGGAAGTGGGCTAAGTTCTGCACATTAGGCAGTCTTGAGGCAAGGGGACTTGTGTAGAGTTCCCAGAAATGTCAAGGGTAGAGCAGATGGTATTAATAACCCCCATTGCTGAAGGAGCCAGATGAGCCCTGCCCTACACATGCGAACCACTGAAGTAAACAGGGCTCCAAACAGTAGGGTCCCAGAGGGACCTTGTGTCCCTTGCTGATTGAGATTGAAGCTGGCTGTGGAAAGGGTGGGAGCACTGCGGCTAGTATAGCTGTGGCTTTACTAGTGACCAGAAGGGGGCAGTAGTCATACTCCTGGCATCCTGTGGACCCTGGCTGAGAACCAGGCCAGCTGGCTGAAAACTAACAGGACCCCCGCACCTCCTGCTGTGCTTCTCTTCCTGGGTCTGGGCCGTCTGTGGTGAGTGGAACAGGGGTCGTAGGGCCAGGGCCCCAGTGGTGGAGCTTCCCCCTGGGTGAAGTGGAGGGATCCTCTCGAGTCAGTTCTGGCCAAGCCTGACCCAGCAGCACTGTTTGCTGGCACTCTTAGCTGGTACCCACAGCTGCAAGCAGCTGCTCCTGGTATTTCCTTCCAGCCCTGCCTGGGAGCTGCCCTGTGGCTCACCCCACTCTTCCTTGACAAGGACAAGAAATGAGGTTCCGCTTCTGTCTGCAGCTAAGCTTCAGAGGCTTGAAGGGCCAGCAGACCCAGGCAGCTTAGCTACCATGTTGAAAAGAAGCCCTGGGTCACTCATTCTGCCTCATGGTTCCTACAGAACAATAGGGTTGGTGTTTTTTTGTTTTGTTTTGTTTTTTAATTTATTTTTTGGCAGAACTGGAGATTGAACTCAGCCTTATTCATGCTAGGCAAATAGTCACTGAGCTACAGCCCCAGCTCTTCTTAACTTAGCCTGAGCCACATCTGGAAACATTTTTGGTTGTTGGAATGTGGGTCAGAGGCCAGAGATGCTGCTGGGTTCTACAAGGCGGAGGAAACCCTGCTATCACATATGCCTATACATACAGAGTCAGTGCCAAGGGTAAAGTTCCTGTTCTGTGTGTCACCTGTCTTGATGGATTAGTGTCTGAGCCAGCTCTGCTCAGTCTCCACCATGCCTGTGGCTTGGAAGACTGTGTCCTGCTAGAACCTCAGCAGACAATATAGGGGTTATATTTTTATCTTTGCAGCTCCTCCCAGGCCACAAGAGGCTGCTCGGTCTTCACTATACGGCCTCCACCCTGCCTCCTGCCTTGTGGAATGCAAAGCCCCTTCTTGGTGTCTCCCTGTTCTGGGAGGATGCAGTGAGCAGAGGCCTTTGATGTGGTTTTGCTTTCAACTGCCCCTCATTCTGGCCTTTCCTAGCATGGTCAGAGTTTGAGTTCCAGCCAGGATCAGGGTTGGTAAGAGTAGTCTTGAGCACATGCTGGGGACCCTATCCTTTTGTCCCAGGAGTAAAAGTCAATAGTTACCTCAATGTGGCTTCTGTGAGTTTAGCCCCACCCACCATATATGCCTGTTGTCAGTGCAGTTGAGCACATGCCAAGTCTTGAGTCCTAATCAGTGGGAGTGAAGGGTCTTCATACACCCACATGTTTCAGCTCCAGTGAGGTGCCCATGGTGCCCAAGCACAGAGCCTTCTGTGTAGGACACGGCTATTGCTGTTCCCCAACCCTGGCCAGACTGTCAGAGGTCCAGTTTGATACTGAGTTTTATGGCTTGGCACTACCAGGCCACTTGTAGTTAACAAACCAGAAAATCGCTGTTCTGGGAAGGGGCAGGTATTCCACTTGTTTGTTTGCTATACTGTGGGTCGAACCTAAGGCCTTACATATTTTCATTTAGTTTTTGTGTGTTGGTATTTGTGATGTTTCTATAGCTAAACCTGGCCTGGAACTTGAAATCTTACCTGAGCCTCCCCAGTGCTAGAATTGCCGGAACATACCACCATGCTTGTTTTTCTTTTTGGCATTGCCTCCTTTTTGCACACTCTGTCTCAGTACTGAGCTCGTATTCCTCACTCCTGGGTACATGGGCAGGTTTGTGGTGTCATGGCTAAGGTCTCCTTGGGACCAGGCTTGGTCCATCCGGGCTGGGTCCACCTTTCTAAGGGCTTCCTCAGCCTCCCTCCTGATTCTGGATCCCTTACTTTCCATTTTCTTCTCTGAAAGAGCACCTGAGGAAGGAAGTGCGAAGTACGTTTTGAAACCTGTTTGAGGGTGTCTCTCTTGTCCTACTGCTGGGTTGACAGCAGCTCGTTAAAGACGCCCAGTTTAGAGTGGTTACCCACAAGTCTCAAGGCCCTGTTCCAAGTCATCTGGGCCCCAGAGTGGCTGCTAAGAAAGTTAAGCCATTGTTGGCCCTGCGTGCTGGAAGTGACTACTTGGTCCTGTGTTGAAGCTGTGCTCTGTGATTGAAAATCCCATGGTATGTGTATTAGTCACTTTTCTGTTGCTGCGGTAGAAACACTGACCCAAGAAATTTATAGAAGGAAGAATTTATTTGAGCTTACAGTTCCAGGGGAATTATAGTCCGTCATGGCAGAGAGGGGAGGCATGGTGGCTGGAGGTGGCTGGAGCAGGAGCAGCAGAAGCTAAGCTCTCACATCATCACGCAGGCACCCGACGCAAGAGAGCACCTGGAGATCCAGCAAGGGTTAAGAACTCTCTAAGCCCACCCCCAGTGATGTGCTTCCTCCAGGATAGCCACACCTTCTAAAGCCTCCCAAAATAGCACCATCATCTGGGGACACAATGTCCAAATACTTGGAGCCTATGGGGGACATTTTCATTCAAACCACCACAGTATACCTCAGTGTGGCCTGTCTCAGTTCTGCAGTAGCCTGTCAGTCCATAACTCTAGTTATGTACTCATAACAGACTCATAGCTCTAGTCTAGACATTTTCTTGGGCCATTTGTGGGTGACTTTCTCTCAATTTGTCTTCTGTTTCTGAAATTTCTGCTATTTGAATGATTCCATCTTGTTGATATCTTCAGCATTTTCTCAAATCCATTTGATGATTTTTCATTTCTGTTTCATTAAAAAAATTTTTTTTGAGAAAGGGTCTCATGTAATCCAGGCTGGCCTCAAACTCACTATATAGCCAAGGATAACTTTGAACCTCTGATCTTCCTGCTTTCACCTCCACATGCTGGGATTACAGGCATATGCCACCATGTCAGGACTGCTTGCATGCTAGGCAAACAGTCTACCAACTAAGCTACTTCCCTAGCACTACATTTTTAATTTCTAAAAGACATTTTTCTGTTGGTCAGTGGATGTAGTACTACCCTTTCCCTGAGGGTGTCACTGATTGGTTCTTTTTGTTTTGTTTTGTTTTTTGTAGCCCCAGCTGGCCTGGAACTCACCTGAGTTCCAGTGATATAGACTAGGGGGGCCTTGATCTCACTGAGTGCTGGGATTGAAGGCATATACCACCACACCTGACAGGTTCTTTTTTTTTTTTTTTTGAGCGTATACTGCCTGCATGTAGGTAAGTGCAATGTGCAATGTGCAGTGTCCTTGGAGAACAGAAGAGACTGTCAGATTCCCTGGAATTGGAGTTACGGACAGTTGTTAGCTGCCATGTGGGTGCTGAGATATGAACCCAGGTCTTCTGCAAAAACAGTGTTCTTAACCACTGAGCCATCTCTCCAGCCCTAGTTCTTTTTAATTAAATTTTTTCTTAATTTCATGTGTTTGAATGTTCACCTATATGTATGTATGTATGTATGTATGTATGTATGTATGTATGTATGTATACCACGTGCATTCCTGGTGCTTGTGGAGGATAGAAGAGGGCATCAGAGCCTCTGGATCCCCTGGAACTAGAGTTGCAAACAGTTGTGAGCCACCATGTGGGTGCTGGAAAACGTACCAGGATCCACTGCAAGAGTAGCAAGTGCTCTTAACCTGTGAGTCATCTGTCTGGCCCCCTGTGATTGGTTCGTTCAACCTCCCTTTTATCCAATTTCTGCTTCCAAGTCAGCCTTCTGTATCTGTTAACTTTGGTCCTTTTGAAGGAGTGGTGCACAGACCAGCAGCAAGAAGTGTCTGAAACACATAGATATAGTCTCTAAATATTTACCACATTTAGCTCAGCATGGTAGCACACATCTGTAATATCAACCACTCATGGACTGAGGCAAGTCCAGCCTGGGCTGCATAGGGGACCCTGTCTCAAAAACGTTTAAAAAGGGGAGGGGAGCAAGAGATAGCTCAATCAGTAAAAGATATCTGGGGGGGGATAGCTCAGCCCTGAATGCATAAAGACCTGAATTTGATCCCCAACACCCAAGTAAAAATGCCAGGCAAAGTGGTCTGCATTTCTAATCCCTCTAATCCTGTTGCTTTAAAGTTAGAGGAGGATTTCTGGGAATCTAGCTAATTAGTGAGCTCCAGGCCAATGAAAGGCTTTGTCTCAAAGAAAGAAGATGGTGTTCCTGAGACTAACACCTGAGGTTATTCTCTGACTTCCATACGTGAAAACACAGATGTGCACACCACCCCCCACATGTGCACCACAGATACATAATTTTAAAAAATCGAGGTAATTTGCCACATATCTGTAATCCTAACATATGGAAGGCAGAAATAGGACAAATATAAATTCAAGGCCAGGATGGGCTACATAATGAGACTATCTCAAATATTAATTTAAAAATGTAGGGGCTAGAGAGAGAGCTCAGTGGTTAAGAGCACTATTGCTCTTGCAGAGGACTCAGGTTCAATTCCCAGTACCCACATAGCAACTAACAACCATCCCTAACTCCAGTTCCAGGGTATCCAACACCCTCTTCTGACCTCTGAGGGCATTGCATGACACGGGTGCACTTACATACATGCAGGCAATACACTCATACACCTTAAAAATAATAGGGGAGCCGGGCATGGTGGTGCACACCTTTAATCCCAGCACTAGGGAGGCAGAGGCAGGTGGATCTCTGTGGGTTCAAGGCCAGCCTGGTCTACATAG